TTGTCTGTTGTTGCTTGTAAAGCACTTTGAGCTTGGTAAAAGCGCTATATAAATTAAACTCAACTCAAATGCATCATCATACAGCTGGTTTCTTAAACAGCACATTTAGTCAAGATAGACACTTAACGAACTAAAAAAATGTGTATCTAGTTTGGTGTTGGTAAGATTTTAAGACCAGTTTGTCTCTTATGCTCTCATGCACATTTATTTGAGGAATAATACACTAAAGAACATACAATATTATGAAAAATTATGATTTATAATAATTGTTTTATTGTAATACATTTCAAAAATATGTAATTAATGTAATTTATTCCTTATGGCAAAGATGAATTTGAAGTCTTCAGTGTCGCATGATACTTATACTAATTAGCATTTGCTGCTCAAGAAACAATTCTTATTATTATCAATGTTGAAAACAGTTGTGCTGCTTGACAGTTTTGTGGAAACCCGTGACATATTTTTTCAAGATTCTCTGATAAATAGACCGTTTAAAAGAATAGAATTTATTCGAAATATGTATTTTTAAATTTATATTTTAAATTGAAATGGAAATTTATATTGAAATTTTTTTTTCATTGCCACTTTTGATCAATATAATTTGGGATTTCTTAAAAAAACTCATACTGGCCACAAACGTTTGAACGTCAGAGTACTAGCAGAAATTTTAGTATCATTACAGAGCAGTTTATTCACAAGACTCAGCACTATTTGCCTGGCACAATTAGCGTCACTATTAAATGTAATTTTTATAGGTGAAGCTTGTGTACATTTTCAACTGATAATGGCAGCAATAATTTATTACATAACAGAGACGAGTGCTTTAACAAGGCACCCAGACAGGTGGTGTGGTCAAACATATTTTAAAAGTGCCAAATAAAGTGCTTGGATAAAGTATGACAAATTGTAGTAGTCTGCCTCATCCTCCACAACCTAGCATTTAGACGTGGCCTGTAAGATGGGGATTTACAGCATGCAAATTTTGTTCATTACTAATTACCAAAGCATTCATGCTGTTTCCTAATATGCACAATAATTCCTTTAGTGAATTATGCACTGAAAGAATGCAAATAAACTGCTTATAGCAGGTGCAATTCATGTTTCCCGTTTTGATTTTAGTTACACAGTGTGCAGTTAATGGTTCTCTGATGGTTAATAACAGTCTAAACCATGTTCACTGATCAGGAAGAATCAGGAAGGAAGTAGCGCTCACCAGACAAATACAGTTATGGCCTAAAAAAAGAGTGTTTTTTTTTTTTTGGTTTGGGAAGATTAGAAATTAAACAAAACAAAAACTTCTTGGAGTGAAATATGTCAGACTCTTTCTCTCAACAGTCACGCTGTCATCATCCTGAAAGCACATCCTACATTTGGCTCTTAACTCACGATCTGTGTTAACATGAATAATCAATACAACAAGCACAATCACAATAAATATCATATGACTCATCACTGCATATTTACTCTTCAAATCATCTCGACCCATCAAACGAAATACAGGAGCTTCTAGTTTCTCGGTCTGCTCAGTGTTCTGGAGTTATTCATTAGCCTGAGCTGCTGTTTACGTAGAGCCCTGAGCCCTAGCCAACAATGTGCTAGTGCGTGTGTGTTTTGTTTGAGTACATCTCTAGGGTTAAGAGCTTGTGTGTGTATGTGTATATTTGAGCTTGGAGGACAGATCTAAAGTTATTATAGTGTGTATTAGTGTGTTATAAACTTTGACCTGTCACATTCTCCTCTCCCTCCACTCAAGTCCAGTCCTCACCAAAACATCTCAAAGATGTGGCTCCACACTGCCTCCTGTTGACGTGGAGGTAAAACAACAGTCTGTATTCAACATACAAGCACACAAATGCACATAAGACAGAAGATTATAAACTATGAGGGGGAATGAGAATATGTCTTATTAACTTATCTTCTACTCATTCATGTTTACTTTATTCCAAATGTACACATATATTTAGGGTCTATAATATTTAGATTAGCAAGAGTAAGTTTGTTGCACACAAACAGGTGTTCAGCCAGTACACAACACAAGCCAATAAAATGATTCAAATACTGACTGAGAGGCATCTAATACCAACATAATGGAAAAAAAGCATAATATGTGAGTGAATATGTAATATCTTAATAAGGTAATATACATGTTTTTGCCCATATCTAATGTTAGTTTATTGTATTTGAATATGAAACTATGAATGTGTGTTTGCTTCCAAAATGCATTGCTGCTGTTACAGCACAGTGATTGGGTCAGATTTTCTGCTCCAGTTCTCAACCCCCTCCTCTGCCTCGAGCCCAATGTGTGTGTGTGTGTGTGTGTGTTGGAGTTTTAGTTACATAAGCAATTTGGGATTCAAGGCTACACACATTTATATGGCAATATTTAAGGGGGTCTGAATACTTTCCGTACCCACTGTATATATGCAGCTATGCAGTTACACTATCGTACAAGTTATTTTTAACTTTATATCCATCAAAGAATCCTGAAAAAAGGATCACGGTTTCCACAAAAAATATTAAGCAGCAAAACCGTTTTCAACATTGATAATAATAAGAGGGATCAATTCTGAAGGATCACGAGACACTGAAGACTGGAGTAGTGGCTGCTGAAAATTCAACTTTGCCATTACAGCAATAAATTAAAATGTAAAATATATTAAAAATAGAAAACAGTTATTTTAAATGGTAATAATATTTCACAATATTACTGTTTTTTAAATGTTTTTTTGTATATATAATGTATACAAGTAATTTAAAACCAAATAACTGAGCTAATAAATGATTATTTTATCAATATTTTTTTCAATTACATGTGCTCAGTGCTCATTGCTCTTCAAATAGTGCATAAATATTTAAAATATATATAATATAAAGTGCCGATATAAACAATACAATACAATATGCAATAGAACAAAAAAAAAAATTCTAAGCAGCAGAGCATTTCAAATTATTGTAGTATAAATAGTTATTAAAATAAAAACACAATCTCAACCGTGCAGCTCTGTCCTGGGCTCTAGTCTCTACGATGGAGCTCTGTCATGGGGCCTAGCCTCCACAGTAGAGCTCTGTCGTAGGGCCTAGCCAATTACACCTTCATCTGAAGGTTTAATCTTACTGATGCTTTGAGTGTCAATGTTCAGTCTTCCACTCAGCTAAACACTTTTTGCATTGCTCTGTACTGGAGCAGAAGCCAAAAGTGCAGTTCATCCTTTCCTTTAATTTTTTATTTGGCAATGGGGCTTTTGAATTCTACGTGTACACACTGCATAGACAGTTTACAAGGAACACCAGGATCGGATTTTCTACCAATCAGCAGGTTTCAGACAGGAAGTGGATGTGCAGATGAGACAGCTCACAGACGCGCACACACTGCAGCGTATTGTTTAACGCTGAAACAGCGTGCTGCTGTCTGCTTGACTCAGTGGAGACGGGACAGATAGTGTCTATTGTTCTCTTACACATTGCAAGGAAAGACTTTCCATGTTTCCATTGTCATAAGTGTGTGTGTGAAACACTCAACTCACATGCTGGCTTCACATGATTACTGCTCTCCTTCTGTCTGGAGAATAACTGTATGTGTGTGCAAGTGTGTCATTACACAGATGGTTGTTGAGCTGAGGAACGCTAAAGCAGCCAACAGGGAGAATGGAGTGAGAGAGAGTGAGAATGTGTTTCGCACGGCTCCATATTCGGAATGGGTCACGTGAGCACTCGGTTGCCTTGGTAACTGTGGTTCTGAATTGCAGGTAGTAAGGCTCAGAGATGCTGTCCTCTAAAACCCCCTCCATCTATCTAGATAACTATCAGCACTGGAGTCTGATTACTGATTCATGATCTAGTTTTGATGCATGATATGATAGAAACCTTGACAGACTGTCTCAGAGATTTGAGTTTAGCCTGCCGAGCTTTTATTAGCTCTCTGTTTCAGGATTGAAGCGCATGTACTAAAATAAATCCAGAGCAGAAGTATATTCATCCTATTTTTTTGCTTTCTCTCATTATGACACCTTACACAGACTTATTTGCAGACAGGGTTTTTTTTAGTACCTGTTTCTTCCCAGTATGTCATTCTGATTATGCAACACATGTAGTGTTTGACATGCTACACTTGAATTTCCACAAATAATCCCAGAGGAAAATTGTATCGCTCAGTGGTTGCTCTTTGCTCATGGCTCAGGAAGCAATAGAGAAAACTCTTTAAATCTTTGTCTTTGATGTTTCTCCTAAAATTCCTGCAGAATGAAAACCAGAAACAAATTAGATAACTGTTGACATAGTATAGAATAATATAGCATAGCATAGTGTAACACACTACAGCATAAGATAGTGTATTACAGTATTTTATATAGTATAGTATAGTATAGCCCAGGGGTTTTGAATCTGGAAAGGAATGCTAGATGGTCTGTAGAAAGGTTTAGAGAAAAACTAACTAAATAAATAAAACTTAGAAAACTTATCTAATAGTACAGTACTATAATAAGTAGAAAAACAATGTAATAGAATCTTTTCCAAATAACATTTTAGGCATATTTATTATGAAAATTTTTCATAGTATAAATTGGATCTTTATACAAGAAACTATATAGATGCCTTGTAAATTTTAGTGTTGGGGGCTCCCTAAAAGTGGTCATCTTTTTGTTGGGGGTCTGTGGCATCCAAAAGATTGAAAAACTTTTGGCATAGCATTATAAAGTTTAGTCTTAAATATTCTACGATAGCCCAGATCATTTGGAAAGAGTTAGATGAAAAATATTTTTTCTTATTACAATCTCATCTTGCAGACTGGTACATGTATATTGGCAAATCTGAGCACATTCTGAGACATTGTTGAGATCTGAAACTCTAAAGGAGATGTGTGAGTTTTGTATAGGGTCCATTTCTTAAAAACATTTAATCACACTGCTGTTTGAGAAACAACAGAGGTAGCCGAAAGATTTAATTTATGATTTTATCTGAGTCATTGCAGCCAGTGTTGATTGTCATGTTTCTCTCTTTCACAGTTCAGAGGTAAAATGGGAGGGAAGCTGAGCAAAAAGAAGAAGGGATACAATGTGAACGACGAGAAGGCAAAAGAGAAGGACGCAAAGACGGATGGAGCGTCGGCGGAAGAGGGTGAAGCTCCAAAGGAGAACAAGGAGGACGCTCCTGCTGCCACTGAGACAACCAATGACACGGCGGCGGCCACCAAAGAAACCGCCGATAGCAATTCCACCGCACCCAAGGAGGAGGAGAAAAGCGCCGCCCCTGTGAAGAAGGAGGAGCCTGCGGCGAATGCTAATGCTCCTAAAGCTTCTGACGCCAAGAGCAATGAGGCTATCAAAGCAGAACCCGCCAAGAGTCCAGATGCCCCTCCTGCCAAAGCAGAAGAAAAATCTGCCCCTTCTGCAGCTCCGGCCAATGAGAAAGAGGCTGCAAAAGATCCCACCCCTCCTGTAGCCACGGTGACGGAGAGCAAGCCCAACGCTGAGTCTAAAAAAACTGAGGCTCCGCCCGCAAAAGAATCCACCCCTGCAGAGCCAATCACCACGAAGACCAGCCCCGCCCCCAATAAGGAGCAAGCAGTCACTGTGCAGGATTAACAGAAGGAACAGTGAATGACAAGATTAATGACAAATGAAAAACAAGATCAAATCGAAATAATAAAACTAGCCCGCCCATTTTAAATTATATCAGTAATTATAATATGAATAATGATAATAGTAATAATGATTTTAACAGGTTGGACTTTGATCATGTTGGCGATGGACATGATCATGGTGAATAAGACTGGCAGTTATGATGATATCTTTAATATTCAATTGAACTTTGATACAAACCACCAGCCCCCAACTCTCTCTCTCTCTCTTTATCTGTTCTCACCTTTCTTTCTACCTCCATTCAAAGAGGGGTGGAATAAAAACATGGAATCTATTCATTGCCACCCTCCGAATCTCACTTCCCTCCATTTGAGTGTGATGGCAGTGGGTGGGGTTAATATATATGTGTGTGTGTGTGTGTGTGTGTGTGTGTATGCGTGAGTGACAGTAGTAGTAATAGTAGTAGTCCAGCCTCCCTGATACACATTTCATATTTCCTGTTTGCGGCTTTCTAGTTAGTGATTGGCATTGTGTCTTTGCTTATCCCCTGACTTTCCTACTTTCTTTGTTGGTCTCTCTCTTTTTCTCACATATCAGTGGAAACTAAATCAGTGTATTGCATAATGCATCAAACGCACACATACACACACGCACAGTATTGAATGTTAACAGTATTAGTGTTTTATTAAAGGAACAGTTCACCCAAAAATGATGATCTAAACCTATATGAGTTTTTGTCTTCATGAGAACGCAAAAAGAAAGAAATTTTGCTGAATGAGCTGCTCATTTCCGTGCACGAAAGTGAATGGGGACTACATCTGTCAAGCAAGATTTTGAGTAAAAAGCGATTTAAATTTCAAAGAAGACTTGGAATATAGTGCACAAACCGTATGGACTACTTTTGTGAAGCTTTTATGGTGCTATTTTGTCTTTTTTGGAGCTAGACAGCCTTTGGTCCCCATCCACGTTTACTAAGAAAAGAGCAGCGTGAACATTCTTCAAAACGTTTCCTTTTGTGTTACATGTAAGAAAGTAAGTCATACAGGTTTGACATGAAGATAAGTAAATGATCACACAATTGTCATTTTAAGGTGAACTATCCCTTTAATTGGATGTTTAAAGGTTAATTTAAAGTGTGTACATGTGTGGAGGGATCCGGGAGTATGAATTGAGTGTGTGTATGGAGTTATGCATGGTATGAGCATGCATTTTCTGCATGTTTGTGTGTGTGTGTGTGTATGTGTGTGTGTGTTAATGGAGTTCTGGTCTTTCTGTACTTTGAAAGCAGCAGATGTCATGATGTCAGAGAGACAGAGCCCAGACCAGGACACACTTTACACACACCGATCTCTCAATATGCTGACAGAACAATGTGAGCGTTGTGTGTATCTGTATGTGTGAGGCTGTGTGTGTTTTGCATGTCAGTGGTTGGCCCTATTGTTGTGTAGTTTTGGTCACTGTGGAGATAATGTTGCTACAGGTGATATTTCATTTGCATTAACACACATGCTCTCTCTCTCTCTCTTTCTCTCGGTTTCTTTTTCTATCATTACTTTTCTTTCCAAAATTCCCTGGAAAATTAAAAAAATAAAAATAAAATGGAAAAACTGAGATATATGTACTTGTATACATGGAGCAACATTAATAAAATGAAAGAAACAGATTGAAAATCAGCTCACACGTATTGATTGTTGTGTTTTCATAAACTCACAGCTTCAGTGTTTCTCCCCAACACATTTGAATATATTTTTATGCTCATGACAGTTCAAACAAATCAAAACTTCAAAGCACATATCTTGACAAATAAAAAGACTGGTCTAATTTTACCTGCCACAAATCCAAACTGTTATGTAAGCTGTCTTTACGCTGCAATAGAGGCACAGAAGACACATTTGATGTAGGATATAAACTAAAAGCGGTGCGTTTACACAGTTTTTAATGTGGCATAGGGGAAGAAGAATTGTATTTGCACAGGATTCACAATTGTGGGAAGAAATTGATTTGAAAGAGAAATGCTAATGTTCTTGTACAGCTAACAACTAAATCTGACACTGTACAAGCTCATTTAAATGAGTTCAACTATAATCAAGCTACCCGTTTGGAAGCTATTGGGAAGGACTGGATTCCAATAGTATATATCAAATATAAATATATATTATATGTATTGATAATTTCATACTTTAAACATGAATTTAATAATAAATGCAATCTCTACAGCATTAAACAATTAGCGTAAATGAACCCTGTCTGCAAATTTTTTGGTGGGCCATTTACATGACACAGTTTTCAACTAAAAATGGAAAACGTTTAATGCGTTTTGGCTGTTTGTTTATACGACAACAGCGTTTTGGGGGCCTGAAAACGCAAACTTTTGAAAGCGGGTTTCAAAATGCACGTTTTTGAAAACAATGTCATTGTCGTCTATGTGTGAACTACAAAAATGTGAATTTGTGAATACGGTGACGTCATGTGTATTACATGTTCAATCTACAGGTATGTGTGCAGGTGCGTAGTGCAATCTGGAATTTTGTGTGAGGAAAAAAAAACAGCTCTCTGAATAACCAACGAGCTCATTACTCTGACACGCTTAATTTTGCTGGTTGACTATCTTTCGTGCTTGTAGAATCAAAAATATTTGTCTTCATACAATGTTGATGTGTTATTTGTATTTGATCACAGTTTAATCGTAATGAATTCACCTGATGGACACTCATGGCCTATGTAATTAGTTTATCCAAACGTTATTAGTTTGCTACATTATTAGTTTATCCATACCCGTCTTGGATGGTTTTGATTTAAAAAAATAAACGGACAGTTTATTAGCCACATTTTTTAGAGAATTTTATAATACTGAACCTGAATATAAATTTGAGGTTATTTGTTTAAACATTTCTGGTCTTCTCTCCTTTTATCACCCTTTCTCTCTCTCTTTCTGTGTCTCTTGTCTCTGGGTTGACTGGGTTCATGTATGACTGCCTTTGGGCCTTAGTAACGGTCGGCAAGCCTCTGATCCCATAGCAACCGGTCACTTGGTTCTGTAAGGCAGAAGGAGAGGACACACACACACACACACACACACACACACACTCTTAACACACATATCAAACCAAATGTAACACTCCTACAGTTCTGACGGATGACTTTGGCCTACACAGTTCTCTATCTGTTCCCTACAGTTTAAAGAATAATGAGTTCTGCAAATCCAAAACCTAAATCTAAACCACAGCTCTGTTTCTAAGACCAGATTTAAGTTCCAGTGGCCAACTATCAGAGAAAATATAGACCGTTCAGAATCCAGGAGCGATAACCGTGAAAGAAAGCTTATATTTTCATCACTTGCACACATAACACACGCACATACATACATGAATGAAATGGGCACCAACATCAACATTAACACCTGATTGGATATGGAGGTAACCATGGATACCGGTCTTGCCTAGCAACAAGCTTGAATGCATACGTTGTAAACCCTGCCTACCTAAAGAAAGCTGAAAGAACCTGCTTTAAGGTTCTTTTAAAAAGATACCTGCATATGCTCACACACAGTCTCGCATTTGTCACTATCCACCCACCTCTTGTTTTTTCTTCCTGTTTATGCCCACATGCTCCCCCCAGCTCAAATCAGGAGGGTCCCTGGAGGGAAAATTGCCGCCTGTCATTGGCTGACTGCATCTCCATGGTGACGCAGCTGCAGCTGTGCTCATGTAAGCGACAGAGAAACACAGTGTGTGTAAATCTCGTTCCAGCCTATAATGGTGTCAGATAAATTGAGATGAGAGTTCACTCCAGTCACCTGTGCAGGTGTGTTTAGTTATGCTATAAATAGACCCCAGCATATATTATGCCAACTCTACAGCATGTCAGCTCAATTTTATATTCAGGCTCAAACTAAAAGCTATTGAGGGCTGTGTCCTAAAGAAAATATGTTTCAGTTTGTTCAGAGGTTGCCCTTTCATAGCTCAGGAGACTTAAAGAGTTAAAGGAAAATTACAGGTTAAGTTTAGCTCTTGTAGTGGTTTGTGATTACCACAAAATATGTCTCTGGACTAAATCTGGGTTACAGTGAGGCACTTACAATGAAGGTAAATAGAGCCAATCTGTGTCAAAATACATAAACTATGTGTGTGTTAACCCCCTGGTGCTGCTCGTGTGCAAGTCAAAAATGTTTTTTCTTTTTATTTCAATGAAATAATTGTATTATATTTTAGTTCTATATATATATTATTTTTCTTTGTATTTTTAGGGGATTTTATGATACAAAATTATAATTATGGTATAGTTATGATCCATTACCTGTTAACTACTTTTTTAGCATAGACCTGAAAATAAAATGTTCCAACTTAAATTATTTTAAATCTTAAATGCTTTGGAGCACAGACTTAAGTTTGGTCTCTTTTTAAGAGACCAAAAAAGCGAAACAAAAAAGAGAAAAGTTGAAGAATGCACAAAAATACTATATTCAATTATATATGAAATATATATATTTTCCAAAACATTTTTTACTCTAAAACTGCATCAAAATCAAAGCCATAAATCTAAAGTTGTGTTCCAAATTTGAGGTTGATATCTCAAAAAATGAGCTTTCAGTAAGATTTTGTTTGGGTGCAGTTTCCAGATGAAATTAGCTTTATATTCATTTCCAGTGTGGTTATTGTGACCACGAACATAACAAGTGACTATTTTTTTCAGGAGCATTTAACCTTTTCAAGTCATGTCCATGATTTTATTTTTCCACATAGTTAAGTGCCAAAACCTTTACCAAGTTTCGTACCATTCCGATGAAGGTTAAAAATTCTAAAAAAAATTATTTCTAAATTAACGAAAAATTGACAACACCAGAGGGTTAACATGATTTCAGTGTGAAAAAAATGCTTGTCAACCTAAAGTGATATCAACAACTAAGCTGCTTTGACAACGCAATGCCATAAACCCTAAAAAGACTGCAAAAATTATTTATAATTTTTACATCTGAACATCTCAAATAATACACAAATGAAAAAGAGCAACGCACTTTTGCTTTGAAAGTCTCCAAAATGGGCCCCATTCACTTTAATTGTGTTTCATTGCAACCTTGATTTTTTCTTTTCTTTTTTGTAAAAAAGGCAAGTAATTTTTTTGTTTAAAATTATTATCATTATACTACTATGCTGTTTATTGAGGTTAAAGTGATAGTTCGCTCAAAAATGAAAATTCTGTCATAATTTACTAACTCTCATGTCGTTACAAACCTGTATGACTTACTTTCTCCAGTGAAACACAAAATAAAATATTCTAAAGAATGCTGGTAACCATTTTGATTACCATTGACGTCCACTGTATAGAGAAAGAGAGAAAAACAATTAGACAAACCTTTAACTTATTGAGGCCTGGTTTAGAGTAACTTTTAATAATTTCTCACATTAAAGAATTTGTAATTCATTGACAGCTGTAAAACTCCAATTGTCCAAAACTGTTTTGTTTTTCCTAAAGCTGTATGGCAGTTAAATTTATCGTAATTTCTTAAAGGTTTAGCCCAAAATAAACAAATCAAAGATGACAGTTTGACACATTAGTGCCTGGAGTGACCACCACCAGAGAACTACCTGATGTATACCTAATATAAGAAATGGTACGGAAGAAGATGGAAGTTGTCTTGGGTGTTCTGATGAGGCAGGCCACGTGCACACGCTCATAGGTTGCTATGGCCGGGGGTGTAGAAATGATTTCTAATAATGTCGGGGAGGGCAGAGGGGCACCAATAATCCTCTCAGCAGTCCTGACTGTCCTTTGTAGTCTCTTGATGTCTGATTTGGTAGCTGAACCAAACCAGACAGTTATGGATGAACACAGGACAGACTCATT